AGGATAGGGTGGGGTTGTATGCGATGGAGTGGGAATTCGAGTGATATTGACATCTTGTCTGGGAATTCGAGTGATATTGACATCTTGTCGGGGTGGAGAAGGGTTGATAGGGTGGGGTTGTATGCGATGGAGTGGGAATTCGAGTGATATTGACATCTTGTCGGGGTGGAGAAGGGTTGTAAGCGATGGAGTGGGAATTCGAGTGATATTGGCATCTTGTCAATCTATTGAAGCACAAATTAAAGAGTTAATGCCCCCACTAAGGCTCAAACCTTTGACCTTCCATTTGAGAGAGCTATACAAGTGCCATTAAGCTACAAGCAACTTGGTTTGTATATTTGTTTGATAAATGATTGTTAGCTGATTGAGTTATAACTAGTTGATAACATTAATTAGCTGATTGTAGAAAGGTATTTGGTAAATTAGCTATTAGCTAATAACTGTTTGGTATAATTTATTTTCTCAAAAAGCTAATTGTAAAAGTTGCTTTGAGTAGCTTTTTGAATTTTAACATTTTGAAGTTATAAAAGGCTAATTAACCAAATACTTATATTGATTTTTTAACTAAGTCAAATAATTAATAGTGATCAAATAAATTAAAATTAACTGATAAATTAACTATTTTACTAAACAGGCTCAATATTATATCATGAGAGACTGATACAGCTAACACTCCTAGCTATCTCTAGAGGAAGTGAATTCATTTTTAAAAAATTGTATATTAATCAAGTCTTAAAATTTCATAATATTCGTACATTACCGTAGCGTGTAATTTGGAAAAAGAAAATTGGATATTTTCCCAATACATTCGTCGTAATGAATGTTACAACGTATGAATGTATGATTAGGACGTTTAATAATCATACTTTAGCTAGTTGATAAGAAAAAAGTAAAAAACAAGTTGAGTCATGTCATGTGGAAAAACACAATAAATAACAAGGAGCCAAATATTTCACTCGGTTTGCTGGATGGATCAATTTTGTCCTACATCTTACAATTTCCACTAGCTACAATTAATAATTTGATTGGAATATTATCAAACTTATTATACTCCATATCTTTCTCTATCAACTTTTCATTCACGGAGGTAACAGACAAAAGTCATAAAAACAATTAATAATTTGATTGTGGTTCATGAGAAGTTACACATATACATGCATGATTTATTAGCATTTTTTTAAGGATTGCCACTATTTATTTTCTTAATGCATTCAAGTGAAATAAAATTGTATCGATGAGGAGAACTTGCATAAATTTGGTCAGAGTTGAAGAGTAATAAAAAGAATTGCATCGTAAAATTGAAAAATAAATAATGGGAAGAGGTTTGTAAAATTTTCTGATTTTTTTCTTTTTAAAATTTTCTATGTTCTTGTATCTCTGATGAAGCAATAGAAAGACCAAGGGTCTTTTTAGCATTTTCCCCCTAAGTAGTTAGTTATAACTACCTACTTGTTTCTTGTAATATAAGAGCAGTAGCTCTTTCTCTTCCTGCAACACATCTTCACATTCTGTTTTGGTTTTCCCTCCTGCAATCATGAATAAACATTGTCTCTCTTTTCCCTTTAGTTCACTATGTTCATTTTAGTCCTAGCTCTAGCATGATCATCATCGAATCATCATGGTATCAGAGCGCCATAGAACATACGCCGCAGCAGTAGTGATGGAAGAGGCCGGAGAAAATAATCCGGTGAGGAACGCAGCAGGTTCCTCAAGTCAAGCGAATCCGATCCAGAGGAATGAAGAGTTTGATGATCCTCTATACCTCCATGCGACAGAAAATCCTAATCTCAGTCTAGTTTCACCGCTATTGACAGAAGTGAATTACACTTCCTGGAGCAGATCAATGAAGATTGCTCTGGAAGTGAAAAACAAGCTCGGCTTCATTGTAGATGCTGTTCCGACTCCTTCTGAGGATGATCCTAGAATTGCATCGTGGAGAAGATGCAATCGGATCGTTTGCTCGTGGATTCTCAAATCTGTGAGTCCTAGCATTGCAGATAGCATTATGTATTTTGATAAGGCATCTGACATTTGGAAGGCCTTGCAGAAGAGATATTCTCAGTCAGATCCACATCGGATTGCTGAGATTCAGAATGAAATTTTTAAAAATGTTCAAGGGAACATGTCAGTGAATGAATATTTCACCAAATGCAACTCTCTGTGGGAACAAATGAACTCTCTAAGGCCTTTATTGTTGTGTGAGTGTAAATCTAGGTGTTCATGCACTCTTGTAAGTAGGATGCAGAAGCAAAGAGAAGAAGACCAGATAATAAGGTTCTTAGAAGGATTAAATGAGGAATATGAGGTTGTTAAATCAGGAGTATTAGTCATGGATCCTATTCCTGACATTGGAAAAGTGCTTAATATGACTTTGAAAGTGGAAAGGAAGATCAAAGGTTCTCTTAATCAAAAGTGCAATGATCTTATTAAGTCCAATGCTGTTCAGAACCAGGCAGATGAGGAGCAGTCCTTAGTAGCAACTTCCAGCTATAATGGCAAGAAGAAGTTCTTCAACAATGGAGGAAAGAGCATTCCTAAGTGCACTTTTTGTGGCATGAATGGCCACACTGTTGAAAAATGCTATAAAAAGCATGGATACCCTACAGGATGGATAGCAGGCTACAAATCCAAGTTTAAGCAATCTCAGGGAATTCAACAGGCTTCTAATGCTTCCATAAATCAGGTTGGAGATATAGGTCTTTCAGCTGATCAGTTCCAGAAGCTAGTGTCCCTTTTGCAGAATCAGAATAAGGGAGATCAGGTCTCAGGCAGTGCTGCTGTAACTGTGACCACACCTGGGATCAAATCAGACTTTAGAGAGACATTGGGAGTCCAAGATGAAGGTAGTCTCTTTTATAATTCTCATGTTGGTGCTGTTTTGAATTCACATAATTATTGGATCCTAGACTCAGGGGCAACAGATCACATTGTCTGTTCCCTGGACTATTTTGATACTTGTCATCAGGTGCAAGGCTTATCTGTTAGGCTCCCAAATGGTGAGACAGTGCAGGTTACACATGTGGGACAAATCAGATTTGATGAAAATGTTTCTCTTCACAATGTGTTGTTTATACCATCCTTCAATTTCAACATTGTTTCTGCTAGTAAGCTCACTTTGCAGTCTAAGTGTAAACTTATCTTGGGAGCTGATTCATGTGATATCCAGGGAATTCATGGAAAAGTGGATGGTTTTGCTGAGCAGAAAGGTGGACTGTACATGATTAATAAGCCTCCTGTGATGAAGAAAGCTCAATTCATTGGTAGAAATACTGAAAAGCAGTGCAATAATGTGACAATTCAAACTTGGCATAATAGATTAGGGCATTACCCTATTAGTAAGATACCTCTGTTGAATGGAATAAAACATGTTTCTCTCAATAAACAATCTGATTTTGTTTGTGATGCTTGTCATTTTGGTAAACATAAGAGGTCTGTTTTTCCAACAAGCACTTCCAGGTCTGATAAAATCTTTGATTTGTTGCATATGGATGTGTGGGGTCCTTTTGCTGTTGCTTCTTTGCAAGGAGAACACTACTTTCTTACTATTGTTGATGACTTTAGTAGATTTACTTGGCTACACTTGATGAGAAACAAGTCTGAGGTTAAGTCCAGATTTCAGAGTTTTTATAACTATGCATGCACTCAATTCTCCACCAAAATCAAGAAAGTTAGGACAGATAATGGGAGTGAATTCCTAATGAAGGCTTTCTTTGATGAAAAAGGCATTGTGCATCAGAAATCTTGTGTGTATACACCCCAGCAGAATGGAGTGGCAGAGAGGAAACATCAACACATCCTCAACATAGCTAGGTCCTTGAAGCGTCATTCTGGCTTACCTGATGAGTTTTGGGGGCACTGTGTTCTTCATGCTTCTTACCTCATCAATAGATTGCCTACTGAAGTGGTTGATGGATATACTCCCTTTGAATTGCTAACTGGGAAACATACAAACTATGATCAGTTAAAGTCTTTTGGTTGCTTGTGTTTTGGTGCCACAATTCCACAAGGAAGAACCAAAATGCAATCTAGAGCAAGGAAGTGCATTTTCCTAGGATTTCCAGCTGAGGTTAAGGGCTATATTCTTTATGATTTGAATGACAAGAATGTATTTATATCAAGAGATGTCAAGTTCTATGAACATCACTACCCCTTTAAGAACCAAGGTCTGGAAACTGGTGATGACCTTGATACAACATTGAATCCCTCATTACCCTTGATCCCATCCTTTATTGATGCTGAATTTAGTCCTGTGAGACACATGAGGAGTCCTAGAAGTATGCCAGCAGATAATGATGAGGGGAGACACTCAGATCAGACAAATAATCAGTCTGATGACACCTTCTATATTGACTTTGATAATGCTGCTATAGATCCTGAAATAGTTGAAAGGATTGATGACATGCAATCTGACACAAATATTGACAATAGTGTCACTGATCAGTCTCAGCTCAGGAGATCAACCAGAGAAAGAAGAGTTCCCAACAAGTTACATGACTACTACTGTCATACCATGCAGAGCAGTAAGTCAAAAACAACATCTCCTCATCCAATAAGCAAATTTGTTTCTTGTGACAGTCTACCACTCACTTATAGGAGTTGTGTTCATTCCATTATTTCTACACATGAGCCACAGTCCTATAATGAAGCAGTGCAATTTGAGTCTTGGAGAAAAGCTATGCAATCTGAAATTGAAGCCTTGATTCAGAACAACACTTGGACTTTGGTAGACCTACCTCAGGGCAAGGTTCCAATTGGTTGTAGATGGGTTTACAAGGTCAAGCACAAGTCTGATGGCTCTATAGAAAGGTATAAGGCAAGGCTAGTTGCTAAAGGTTATACTCAGCAGTTAGGGGTTGATTATTTTGAGACATTCTCACCAGTGGCTAGAATGACCACCATTAAGACCTTTCTAGCAGTATCAATTGCCAAAGGTTGGGATATTCAGCAGCTTTGACATCAATAATGCTTTTCTTCATGGGGATTTAGATGAGGAAGTTTACATGGTTTTGCCACCAGGTTTTAAAAGTGATAAACCTAATCAAGCTTGCAAACTCTTGAGGTCCTTGTATGGTCTAAGACAGGCAAGTAGACAATGGAATGTGAAACTCACAAGGGCCTTACAAGCTGCTGGTTTTAAGCAATCCTCAGCTGATCCTTCATTATTTACTAAGGCCAAAGATGATGCTTTTCTTGCCTTACTCATATATGTGGATGACATACTTGTAGCAGGTACAAGTCCTTCCCAGATTCAATCCTTGAAACAGATGTTGGATGATGCCTTTAAGATCAAGGATCTAGGCACACTAAACTACTTCTTGGGTATTGAAGCTCTTAGAACTCCCAGTGGCCTTCACTTGTGCCAAAGAAAATACATTCTGGACATCCTTGCAGAAAATGGTTTTTTGGACTCTAAACCATCCAACACACCATGTGTCACAGGGCAGAAACTTACCAACTATGAAGGAAACTTACTTGCCAAACCTGAAGTCTACAGAAAGCTAGTTGGCAAGCTCCTATATCTTACACACACCAGGCCTGATATCTCTTATTCTGTCCAGCAACTTAGTCAATTTGTGGACAAGCCAAGGGACTCTCACCTAACTGCTGCTCACAGGGTTTTAAGATACTTAAAGAGATCACCAGGCAAAGGTTTGTTCTTTCCATCCACCTCACAAATCAAGCTTCAAGGCTTTTCTGATTCAGATTGGGCCTCCTGTGCTGAGACCAGAAAATCTATTACAAGCTTCTGCATCTATCTTGGGGATTCTCTTATTTCCTGGAAGACTAAGAAACAGGCTACCATCTCCAGATCATCCTCTGAAGCTGAGTATAGAGCTCTGGCTTCCACAGTTTGTGAAGTCCAGTGGCTTGTGTATTTGTTGGCAGATTTGCAGATAACCATTACTGAGTCCATTCCTATCTTTTGTGACAACAAATCTGCTATTGCTATAGGTGAAAATCATGTTTTCCATGAAAGAACCAAGCACATTGAGATTGATTGCCATGTAGTGAGGCAAAAGGTTTGTGAGGGCTTGATAAAGTTGATGGCTGTTTCCACACTGCAGCAAACAGCAGATGGTTTTACCAAAGCTTTGCCTAAGATTTTGTTTGATAACTTTCATGATAAGCTGGGCATTCGGGACATTCATGCTCCAGCTTACGGGGGGGTGATGAAGCAATAGAAAGACCAAGGGTCTTTTTAGTCTTTTCCCCCTAAGTAGTTAGTTATAACTACCTTCTTGTTTCTTGTAATATAAGAGCAGTAGCTCTTTCTCTTCCTGCAACACATCTTCACATTCTGTTTTGGTTTTCCCTCCTGCAATCATGAATAAACACTGTCTCTCTTTTCCCTTTAGTTCACTATGTTCATTTTAGTCCTAGCTCTAGCATGATCATCATCGAATCATCAATCTCTTCCACCAGGGAGTATATATAGTGCACTAAGAGTATTGTTCTAAAAAGTAGGCTATACAGCTGAGAAGTTGGAGAAAGAATAGGAGAATATAATTGGGTAAGTGAAATTATTTTAAATAATAATAAGTTTACCGCTGACTCTAAATAATAATAATAATAATAATAATAATAATAATAATAATAATAATAATAATAATAATAATTCATTTGCATTACTTACAATTCCCCACTAATAATGCAAAGAAAAGGCTAGACACTAAACTCTAGCAATGTAGGCTAGCTAAGTACTTAAGTGTTAGTATGTAAAGATTGAACCAACACATAGTGATAAAAAATAGTTTCCCTTATCTAAAGAGTGAAATCATCTTGAGCCCCTAAAATCGAGAATTGAACCATATGACATATACACCATGAAATTTTTGCTATATAAGAGCATCCACATCAGTGGATATTATGGAGTTATTGTCAGATGAATTATCTTGGGTGGGGTTAATAACAAATGTGAGGTGAGGTTATTTGTGAAAATATTTGTTCTGCAAATACAAAGATAATGTCAGGAAAAAAAAAAGAAAAAAATAAAAATAAAAAACAACACTGGTTGTGCGCGTTTGCGCACAGCCAATGGATTGCACGCGCCCGTGTAGCGCGCTGACAGCGCGCCTGACGCGTCAGGATTTTATTAATTTTTTTTTTCAATTTTTGTTTTGTTATTTTTTTTTTCTTTTTTTTTTTCTCTCCGCTCCCACATTCTCTTTCCTAATCACTCTTACATTATCTCCCAAATCTCCCCAACTAATGTGGATGCTCTATGCATATGTTGGTCAATACTTCTCAGGATGCTCAAGAGTGCTTTAGAAAGACCACCATAGTCTTTCACGGAAGGTGACCAAACCTTCACACTCAAGTAGGTGTATCCATCAATCCGTCTCAATAGGATTCCCGACCTCAAGCTTATGGATCTACTAACAACAAAATGTTAAACCTCGCTTAGTACAAAAGTCATGGTTACAGACTTACAGGTAGCCATGTACATATGTGAGTCTTTCCCTGGGTTCGTTTGACCACAAAGTTATTAAAAGGACAACGCGTATCAACGTTTGGATTCCTCACCTACCGGGCTTTAAGCCCAATCTCGTTGACGAATCTAGGACTAACCTCCGATTTAGTCCTTTAGTTAGCGGATCTACTAATTTTTCTCGGATCTAACATACTCTAGCGAGCATTCCATTCATAATTAGTTGCCCAACGGATTCATGTTTAACTCGTATATGTCTCTTTTGTCCATTATAGGCACTATTCTTAGCAACACTAATTTCACTTTTGGTCCCACGACTTTTGAGTTCTTATCACTTTTGGTGCACAACTTTAAATTTTTTCAATTTTGGTGCCTAACTTTGTTATTTTTATCAGTTTAGGTCCTTCTAGCCAAATTGACGGTAAAATATTTCTAGATTTTATATTTTAGGGGCAAAATCGTCATCCCATGGAAAGATCTTCAATATTTAAACAAAAGAAAAATCATATTAAGAGGAAAAGAAGAGTTTGCCAATGGTCGAAACTATAAATCCCATAGATCTGTCTGGTTTCTGCCCATCTTCCCCATTATTCTCATCATCAAACACCTATAGATATGATTTTACGGTGATTTTGTTTAGATATTGAAGATGTTTCCTTGGGATGACGATTTTACCCCTAACAATATAAAATCCAACAACATTTAACTGTCAATTTGGCCGAAAGGACAAAAATTGATAAAAATAACAAAGTTAGGCACCAAAATTAAAAAATTTTAAAGTTATGCACCAAAAGTGATAGAACATCAAAAGTCGTGGGACCAAAAGTGAAATTAATTCTAAATAAATATAAGCTAATAGGTTTCTCAACCACTCAACTTATTGCCCTCTTAAATCTAAGAGGGGTGTATTCAATTATGACTTTTGTAGAGTTTTAAAGAGTTTTAAAATGATAGATTTTAATAAACTTTGATTGACTTTCAAAGAATAGTTCAAAACTTTTTAAAACTTTATAAGACTCTATAAAAGTCTATATAAAAAACATTCATAGACTTTTGTCAACTTTTTATTTGAAAAAGTTTACAAAAGTCATTGAAATTCTAAATTGAATACATCCTTATAAACTTTCAATTATTTTGATTCTTATCATTTACAGTTTTCTTACAAAACATTTATAATATGTCATAAAATTCTTCTTATTATATAGTTCTTCACCCACATCAACATTCTCAACATTATTATTTTTATCCATAGTATGATCAGACTTATATGCTAATTACTTATATATATTATTAATAAACGTCAACAAAAAAAATTTATTTCATTATAAATTCATAACAATATTGAACAATTAAATTTATAATAAAAGACTTGATCAAATAAAATATTTAAAAATATAATTATAAGTTGCATAAAATAAAAAAATAAAAATCTAATATTAATAATATATATAAAATTATACTTGATATATTGCTAGGCATCACGCAAAAAACTATTATTTCCAATAGCAATTTGAGATTGCAAATAACAAGGTGCTACTATTTGCAACCCCAAATTGTTGTTGCGAACATCAATTTGTTATTTGTAGTAACCTGTTGTTAAAAAAAATGAAAAATATATATTACAAATATAAACATAAAAAGAATAAAAATCAAAATATATAAGTATTTATATGAATATTATGAAACATATACTAAAATTTTACAATGAAAAATTTGCTTTGTTCATGTATTTAGGGAGAATTAGAGAAAGTTAGGGATAAAAAATTCATAGAAAAAAATAAAAATCAATATAAACAAGCAATAATGAAGCAAAAATAATATTATTTCGAATTTTTATATGAAGATTATAAAGTTTAGGAGAGAGAGAAAAATTGGTAGAGTTTAGGTATGAGGAAAATATAGGATAATGAAGAAAAAAATAATTATATTGAATTTAGATAGGTTTATTGAGTTTAAATAGGGTGGAAAATAGAGTTTAAATAGGGAGAGAAAACATTCAAAGTTGTTAAAAAGAAAATTTGAAATCTTGGAGTTGATGGTTGGATTTTAACTAGTTATATTTGAGAAGGAAAAGTCTACAAAAGTATTAAAATTAAAAAATCTACAAAAGTTCATAATTTTTCGAATACCACATGACTTTTAAAGACTCTTTAAAAGTCTTAATCGAATACCACACAACTTTTAAAAACTCTTTAAAAGTCTTGATTGAATACCGTCTGACTTTTTAAAGACTCTCTAAAAGTTTGAACTCTAAAAGTTTGAATTGAATACCTCCAAACTTTTAAAGTTCATAAAAGTCTTTAAAACTCTATGAAAGTCATGATTGAATACACCCCCCTAAAACTATGAACTCAAACCCCATAGTTGCGACAACCCCAAAAAAAAAAATTCTCAAAAAATACCTATTTTATCAAATTTCAAAATAAAATTATGATTTTACTCCTATGATAATTTTTTCAAATGGTGTGTGAATAAAATATTTTAAATTTCTTATTTTAAATGATTCAACAGCAAATATTTATATAATTTATTATGGTTTTAAATATTTTTCTTTCAAAATCTTGACCCAAAAATTTATCTAAGACGAACCTGTATTTATTCGTATCAAGTTTCCTAGCCCAAATATTTTTGTATTCCTAGTTCAAATGATTTTGTTTGAATCCAAATAATCCAACTATTCTAAACCCAATTTCCTTGGTCCAATCTATGTGTTTTTACCTTCAAAATAACACTATATATATATATATATATATATATATATATATATATATATATATACACATTTATATAGTATTAAGATCAACACTCAAAGACAAATTCTACAATTACCCTATAACTGAATAGGTTCATTGGCACTCCAAAGCACTTGGTTTTAAATCTTGTTGAACCCCTGGTCTGATATTTTCTTTGTGGAGCACTTGATTTCTTAGGCTTAGTAGTTATCTTCTTAGTCAATCCAAGTGTTTTTTTTTTTTTTTTTTTTTTTTTTTTTTAAGATAGATGAAGGGTTTCTTTGTTTATTAACTTTGGCATGTGTACTAGTATGGTTGTTTCCCTTTGTTCACCTTCAGAGCTATGTCCAGATTCCTTTTGAACCTGCTACCTATTTTCAAATAGCCTAGTCATCAAGATGTGCCTCAATATCTCTAAATATTTAACTAGTGGATTTTTTTTTCTTGCATCAACAATTATGGCATTGAAATACATATACATTATTCACTAACATATCACACAATGCACCGTTATATTACTAATATATCACACAATAGCCTAGTCATCAACATATCACACAATGCATTACCATTATATTCACTAACATATCACATAATAGCCTAGTCATTAAGATATGCCTCAAGTCACATCTGGACCACTCACTTGGGTGTTTGTCAACTAAATATTCAAACGCCTTAGAATCAAAAGCTTTCATTATTCCTCATAATAGTTGTAAAACCATTCACTATAGTAGCTCTAGTAGCTTCCCAAAGTGTTTCCTTGATTGCTTTTCCATGGGAACTAGCAACTTCCATATTAGAGTATAGATAGGTGCCTCACACAAAACCTATGATTAACATGAGGAAATACATATTCAAAAGTTGGAATAAGTTCTTTTTGTTTGTCAGACACAAATATAAGAAAATGTTCTCTAATATATGTGATTTGCAAATCATTTTTCAGCAGCCGTAAAAACCATATGTAGGAATCTAGATCTTTGGCCTCCCCCTCTACAATTGCATAAGCTATAGGGAGAATGCCATCATTAGGATCCATGACAGTTGTTGTCAACAAGTTCCCACCTTGCTTGTCTTAAGATGACAACCATCAACTCCTATAATCTGCCTATAATGTCTAACCCTTCTCTACATGCCTCCTAGCAGATGTACCATCTCATAAACCTCTTTTTTTCATTCTTCCACTATATTACTCAACTTGATGACAAAACTTGTATGTGGGTTGGTTCTTTGGATTTCCAAGTAATAAGTCAAAAATTTATTGAAATAATCTTCATAATTACCTTTGATAGTTGGCCTAGCTAGTGACATGGCCTTATTATATGCTTGGCCTGTGGTTAGAACCAAGGAAGGAGTCAGAAATTCGATTGAGGGGGGCGAAGGAGTAGGACGGATTTAGAAATTTTTTTTAGTAAAAGCAAAACATTAAAACAAAAGAGATAATTTAAAAAAAAAAATTACCTAAGAATTTTTTTTTTTTTTTTTTTATAACCATTACCTAAGAAATATAGTTGTAAATATTATTGGATATGTGCAAAAAATAAAACACATCGAAACTTTATAAAAATATTCATAACAAAATATGAAACATAATTAATTTGATAAAATAATTTGAATAGAAAACACATTATAAATTACACATCTCACTATTAATATAAAATAATGTTATATATGTGTGTGTGTTAAATATTAAAAAAGTGAATGTGTTGGAGCCATAGGGGAAGGACTCAAAAATATGTTAATGCAAGTTTGCAAGAATTTGACCCAAAACCTTTCTTATTACCAAACATATGCCCCACCAATAACTAATCTAACTCTTTACTTGTTAACATTTACTAGTTTTTTTTTATACTAATACTAAAACATATACTATATATACGTGCAAAAATTATATATGGGGTAGGAGTGGGGTTAGGGGATAGCTGCCCCCTTGCCCCCTTTGGCTCCATCCCTGGTTATTAGAACAAAATGCCCATCATCTGCCACTTTTTCTCTAAACTTTGTCATCTTCTAACTATTATGGTTCTTGATTTGATGTTTCCACCTCTTTGCAACAAAAGCTAGCCTTTACCATTTTGTTCTCATACACCAAGAGCAACCCTCATGATATCATTGAAAGCAGTAATCCTCCAACTCATAGCATCGAGTATGAACCTCAAGGTAATTGACTAGGGGCAACCACTTTCCTTACACTTCGCAACACACCTTTGTCAATTTTTTTTTTCAAATCTTAAATCTTTGCCTTGTTTGATTCCATAATTCAATATAGCTTCTCTAAATTCTCCCTTAGTTGCAAATGTCGTGCCAGCACAAAAAATAGGAGAATTCATGTTTGTACATACTCTTCCTAAACCGTCGCCATATATTACCTTATTCATCACTACCTTAGGATTCCCTTCATTAGAGTAAGGAAATGATACATTAAATTTCTTGTCATACTTGTTGCATTTACATATTCACAAGATCCTACACCATGATACTCCATATATATATGGATCTACTACTTTCTCAAATTCTTATGCATCATTCAACTGTATATCATTTGCAATTGAATCATCAAACTCCACATTTGGATCCACCTCACTATCCTCACTTCCGTTCTAACTGTCTTCATTTATCTTAGCTTCATATTCTATACCCACTTCACCTATGACAACCCAAATCTCAACTTCAATTCCCTTTCCTTATTTTCAAAGTTCAATGAATCACATGCCTCTAAATCAGAAACCACCTCAATCAAACCACCATTTCCCAAAGTATAGAATTTATAGTCACTCATGTTGGACCCTAAATCTTCAACTAAATCCTTAAGGATCATAAACCCCCAATGATCAACCTCCATATAGTTCAAAGTAGTCTATGTTCCCTCCTATATATGAAACTACATTATGCTCTCTAATTCTTCCCCATGTCTAACCTTGAAGGAAAATAAGTAATTTTATTCTGGGATATCTAACTTGCAAAAGAAAAAAAAAAAAAAAAAAACCAAAGGCAAGTAAAGCACATGTAAAGTAAGTATACTAAAGCCATTATTGGTACCCTTTCCACCATTACTGGTCCCCATTATACTAAAGCCACATAATGACAATTTATACACCATTATTGGTCCTCATTCTACCTGTTAGAGTCTTAATATATTTATGTGGCTATACTTAGTCATGCTTTTAGATAGCCTATAGTGTAGGAGTCTTTTAGGTGTTCTCTTGTATTAGGACTCTCAATTGTAACAGTTTCAATCCATCAACTATTCCCGTTACTTCATCCTACCAACTCAAGGCTGACATAACAAAACATAGTAAATACTCCTAGAACAACTTCAAACACAATTCTTTACACAACATAAGGAACCCAAATGCACAAACCGTACAGAATAAAGTACTGCTAACACACACACTTCTCACATCAAACATAAGGACAAAAACCATGTTCTTGTACACTTTTATGTGCATAAAAAAAAAAAAAACATAATTGTATGTCAATATAAAACTGCTTAGGAATTTAAAACTTAACATATGTTGAAATTTGGACACTGTTAATCTTTCGACAGTATGCCATTGTAGATGCTCTCTGTGTCTTCAAGTCTGCCGCTTGGGCTTTCGCAAGTTCACTTCTATTGCTCTATAAGGATTTTTGAATGATTTTTTATTAGGAAGGATTGAAGATGCGTGCATGATTTAGGGGTACTCGTCTGTGGTAATTTCCCCAATTGCAATCGTGAACAAAATAGAAATGAGGACAGTAGAGGGATGCAAATGAAAAGACGGATTTTCCCTTGATTTAACCCCTCATCATTAACTGAAACGAAGGACGAATTTGAGTAAAGTTTTCATAGTCAGAGGACTAGTTTAAGTTAAGAAAAATGATGAGGATACAAATTAACAAATGACTATAATTAATGGACCATTTTTAGAATTTACTCTAACTTCTTGGCAAATCTAACTAATTTAATTAATTAAAATGATGCCATTTGGAACCAGTATGTAAAGTGTACACTAGTCTACCGTGTAATTTACAATTCTCACCCTGATAAGGACGATAGGGAGTGTTTAGAACAGTGAGAATGGGGAGATTGGAGTATTTTATTACGAGTTAATACCTAATATAGTCTTCGACTGTTGTGGTTTTATTCGATTTAGTTCTAAGTGACTTTATGAGCTTAATTGAATCGTCGATTTTGATAGTTTTACACAATTTAGTCCTTTGTTAATAATTTCGTTTGTTGACAATTAAAAATAAGGTTAACATAGTAATTTTTCCTCCCACATCTTTTTGGTTAGATTATTTTCTTCTCCCTCTTCTTTTTTTGTCGTACCAGTCCTCTACCCTGGTTATATTTCATTTGGCAGAACAATGTGGATTTATTCCAGAAGCACTTGGCGCCACTGTGCCGCAATTACCACGACCACCAAAAAAGAGTAGCGCTCCAATTAGTTGCAGACCCTGTGTAAATTTAACAAAAAATTGAGCAAATTTCTTCTTGCTAGCATCATAGTTGTAGAAATCATACAGGATTGGGGTAACAATTGCCTGATGCAAAAGCAGTATATAAGCACCAAGCGAACTGCCAAAGACAAATAGAAAGCTTCCGAGCCCTCTCATAAATATAGTACCCAGAACTTGATGCTTCATCTCAACAGGAACTTGAAGGCCAGTGTGTGTTGTAATATCAAATTAGTTGTTACCCCGCCATCAATACCAAATTTTCTCTCTTTAGATAAACAGAGACAGAGAATTAAGATGGGGGAGAGTATTGCGATTGGTTTTCATGGAAGAGAGCGTGGAGAAGATGTTGGAAAAAATAACTTAAAATAATAATTTAATATAATTATTAATGAAGTCCACCCCTGATTTGGGTCGGAGATTAAGATGGATTTAGGTGAATGAGAAATTAAATTTAAAGTTTATTTTGGAAAATTAAAGGGAAAAAGTAATTTTTGTTCTAAATTCGTTCGAGAAATGGGTTTGTACTACTATTTACACAATAACCTTTCTATGCTTAATGAATGAGCAAATATCAATTTTGGTCTCCCGAATATTAATAAAATGACAGTTTTGATCCACATGTTTAATTCCTACCAATTTTCATCCAGAACTATTATTTTAGTACCAATTTTCATCCACAAATATTATTTTAGCGCTAAAATTTATCACTCTGGTCACCCTTTCGTTTAAGACATGCCGAAATATGAAATTATTAAGGGTAATTTCGTATTTTTCAAATTAGGATCCCTATTTGAACATGAATAAAGGAATTAAGTCCTAAAATTTATCTCAATTCGCAATTTTCCTCTTCAAATTAAGGTAGGATGAGGAGGAGAACTGCGAATTGAGATCGATCTTAAAACTTAAATTTTTTTTTTTTTGAATGCTACTAACTCTACCTACTGAAACACAAAGAGCTAATAACGCCTCCACTGAGGCTCGAACTTACAATCTTCCAAATGGAAGTCCAACCCGGGTACAGGCTTAAATTTATTTATTTATGCTCATATTTGAATCTTAAGTTGAAAATGACGAAAATTTCCTTAAAATTTTTAGATTTCAGGATGTCTTAAATAGATGAATGACTAACGTGATGAATTTTGATACTAAAATAATAGTTGTGGATTAAAATTGATACTAAAACAATAGTCGTGAATGAAAATTGATAGAAATTAAACATGTGAATCAAAACCGTCAATTTGTTAATACTCGTAAGACCAAAATTGGTATTTGCTCCTTAATGATTTCTATAGTATAGAGGCTTTTTTCTCTCAATTACTATATTCCGAACATCTTCCTCGAAAAACTCATTTTATTACTCTTTCACACTGCTCCAAACATCTTCCTCGACAGCCGGGAAACTGCTCATTCGTCCATCCTTGAATTCAGCGACTCAAACTCTCTATGGAAACGGCTGCACAGAACAATAGGTCACTCATCATACTCCACAATGCAGTGATCGTCACCATGGACGCTCAAAGCCGCGTCTTTCTGAAAGGCGCGGTTGCTATTCGAAGCGATACAATCATCGCCATCGGTCAATCCGCCGACATTCTTCAAAAATTCTCGTCGTTTTCAGCTCAAGTCACCGATCTCCATGGCCAATTTCTCCTCCCAGGTTCGTTCTGTTTGTCTATTTGTCGTTTGTGTGTTTTGATGTATGCCAAAGCTGTTCAGATATTTTATTGGAGTAGTATGGTTGGATGCCATATTGCCACTGATTTTTAGGGTTCATAAACACGCACGTCCACACGTCTCAGCAGCTCGGAAGAGGAATTGCCGATGACGTCGATTTGCTGACTTGGTTACACCATCGCATTTGGCTGTACGAGTCGAACATGAGCGAGGAAGACTCTTACATTTCCGCTTTGCTCTGCGGAATTGAACTCATACACTCCGGTGTAAGTGTTTTCAAAACAGTTACGCATGGTTCAACTTAATTAGGAATAGCCGCGTGCTAATTGAAGTATGTTTTGGGACTTGAAAAAGGTTACATGCTTTGCGGAAGCAGGAGGGCAGCATGTATCAGGAATGACGAGGGCAGTGGAATTACTCGGCATACGAGCATGTTTAACAGAGTCCATAATGGATTCAGGTGAGGGATTACCTGAATCCTGGGCTACTAGGACTACAGAAGAGTGTATTCAGGTTGGTTCTGCAAGGGATTACCTGCAAAATACATTCTTTTCAGACTTGAAATAAAATGAGAGTTAATACCAGAAATGCTCTATCTACTATTTTGAGTATTTCGAAATTCTAAAATTGGTCCTTGACTAATATTCTACTAATTAGGTCCTTGACTATCCAATTGATATCAAAATTGCTCCTCCAGAGAGATTTCTGATGAAAGGCTGCTTGAGGGTAATATTGGAAAGGAAAATGTTATTTTCCCCCTAATATTTTCCCTCCATGATGTGGCTTATATTTATTGAGTGCTATGAATTGGCTGAGCCATACACTTTTAATTAAATGCTAAATAATCCAATTAAATTGTCACATTAGGAGGGGAAATTGGGAGGGAAGTTTTTAGGAGGGGTACTTATTATCATGTGAAGTTTATAAATTGGTTGAACAATTTAAATGGAGTACCTAAATCAAGGTGACGCTCAATCCTGCAAGGTTCTCCAAGTCTGAAGGAAATGGTGCATAATGATGGGGTAAAACCACTGCTAGGGACTAACTCCCTCATAATAGTAGTGCATAACCCAGCACAGGCCATCAGTGTATTTCATAAAATCTTTCCATATATGTTCCATTTCCTTGGGCATTTTTGCGAGAACTTATCCTCATAATACATCTCTTTCCATCTTGGCTCCCCCAGCTTGACTTGGTCTTCTTCAGGATTTTCTGAGTTGAAAACATCATTCTTTTAACAAAGTAGCTGTTTAAGCTTGGTTTCCAATTCTTCTCTGTTATTGCAAACTTCAATTTCAAGACTATTCTCAGTGGCCCAGCTTCAACAATTGCAGCTCTTATTGTGGCTTCAGATGCCAAGTGTGCAACTTTTGTAGCATGGTTATGGGTATGACCATCATGAGAATTTCCAGACTGAAACTTTTGGTCAGATCTGGACCCCTTGTTGATATGGAGAAGGTGAAGGGCCAGATGCAAGACGAGAACCTTGGACCCAAGCAATCTGAACCACAGATCCAGGTTCATCTTCAGGCACAGAGTCCTCTTGCCCTTTTAGGGCTTTGTCATACTTGATTCTTTCAGGTTGCCTCAGATGCAAGCATTCTGTTTTGTGGAGTATTTTATCTTCATGTGACTCCACTCCCTGTATAAAATGATCCAGCCTGCCAAGGTTTGGCATCAGACTTTTGCTTGAGCAACCTGATTTTCCAATGTTACCCTCAAGCTCGACAGCCTCTCACTTGAAATCTCACTACATGACCAATTTTGGTATTTTGAAATTATCAAGAGACCATTTCTGGTATTAACTCATAAATAAGTAGTTATAATAACATTTTTAGGCTTCTCTTAGTTTCTTGCATAAGTTTTTATGGTTTTTTGATGTTTATTGAGTTTGATTATTTTGCACCTCCTCTAATGCAAGCAGAATATTAAGTATATGATGATGTGAAATCAATCAATCAATTCACTGGTAACAGTTTCCTTGTCAGTGTTTTCTTAATAATAGAGTTCTACTACATGGACTTTCAATCTCTACTCTCTGATGTGGCAAGAGATGATAAGTTATCTTCATCCTATTGGTCCCAAGTAAAATGCCAACATCAAAATTTTGAGTGAGGGAGTAAAAAGTAGGGAGTAGAACTTGGGAGTCCAAGTAGTATTTTCCTTAATGCTATCTATACATAGTTCATGCATAATAGTTGTCCTCCATTTAATTATGCAGTCACAAAAGGACCTTTACAAGAAGCACCACAATACAGCAGATGGGCGGATCAAAGTGTGGTTTGGAATACGGCAAATTATGAATGCAACTGATAATTTATTAATAAAAACCAGAGACATGGCAAAAGAACTAGAAACTGGAATACATATGGTAAGCTCTCTATCACTAAGTGGTAATGGCATAGTGCATAGCTCAAAAATGGTGCTTAAACTGTCTTCTGAAGGGAAATTTATACAAATTTATCTACATAGTGCCGGCATTTCTCTACCACTCTGACTTCCAAGGATTTCATTTTGTCCTTTTATCTTTTATTTTTTTCTTTTTGGGCTAAGCAATTAAAAGGATTTATTCTCTTTGGAAGATGTTTAGTGTGTTACTTCTGTAATATTTTGCTCAATTAGAGAGGACAATTGCTAATAATTACAATATTTTTTTCTTACTTTTTATTTTGTCATCTGAGATACTGCCATGCGTGTATGGAAGTCAGCTACTCAGCTGGACACTTTTGTTGAAGAAGATGAAGAATGAAAAGAAATTAGAAAATTAAATTTTATAGATTTTTTAGATTTAACCACTTACAATTTCAACATTTAGCATGTTGCAGAGATACCCTATGAAAACCAGCATGTTGTTGCCACAAGAGAAGTTGATCATGGAACTGTTACATACCTTAACAGTATCAACTTTCTAGAGAAAAATCTGCTGGCAGCGCATACTGTATGGGTCAATAAGGATGAGGTGAGCGTATCTGCTAGTATACTACCTTCGATTCACCACTACTCATCCTGTTTTATTGGCTAGATTTCTGAGTTTTGTTGGATATATTGTGTTAAGAGCCCCAATGAAAAAAATAAGATAGAATATATAGGTTTATAAGGCCATGGATTAGAGATGTTATGCTGTGGAATCGTGCCCAGCGTGCATCATGGGCACGGTAACGTCTTCCTCTTTTTTTTTTTTTTTTTTTTTTTTTTTTTTTAGACCGCTTCGTTATAGGAGTATATATTCACAGCTTTGTGTTCATAATTTCATAACTGTACATTCATAATTCCATAACTGTACATTCATAATTCCGTAATTGTACATTCATAATTCAATAACTGTAAATTCATAATTTTCGAAGCTCTATGTTCATAATTGTAAGTTCATAATGTCAGAGTTCTGTGTTCATAATTTCATAACTGTACATTTATAATTTCATAACTGTACATTCATAATTCCATAACTGTACATTCATAATTCCATACTATATATTCATAATTCCATACCGAACATTCATAATTTTCGAAGCTCTATGTTCATAATTGTAAGTTCATAATTCCATAAATGTACATTCATAATTCTATAACTGTACATTCATAATGTCATAACTGTATATTCATAATTTCATAACGAATATGCCGTTAACGCCGTTAACGGCGTTTTGGACATTTTTTTTTTTTTATAGTTAAAACGGCGTCGTTTTCAGTGAAAACGACGCCGTTTTAGCGCCGTGCGCACCTTGCAAGGTGCGCATAGCATAATTTGCCCATGGATTAGGCTAGCTAATTGATTGGATTCAATCTTTTAGTGTGTTTTGGCCCATGTGCATTATAGCCCAGTTGAGTGATCTTGGCCCAATCTTAGTGTTCGGTCTACTTTGTGTCCATCCGGTTGTCTACCGTGGTATTGATGGCTTCCAGGGGCCTGCTTGTTCACCCCACTTTGGTGGGGTTGAATCCAATTTCAAGTGGTCAACCCATTAGATTCAAAATGGTCGGGTTGTCCACTTAAGGAGTGTTAAGAGTTCCTCATTGGAAAAATAAGAGAGAACATATGAGTTTATAAGACCATGGATTAGACTAGCTAATTGATTGGATTTAATCTTTTAGTGTGGTTTGGCCCATGTGCATTATAGCCCAGTTGAGTGACCTCGGCCCAGTCTTAGATTATAACATGTAATTTTTACTGCTATTCCCTTTCAGGTTGACATTCTTTCAAATGCCGGGGTTAAAGTTTCACATTGTCCAGCTGCTGCAATGCGAATGCTTGGATTTGCACCCATAAGAGAAATGCTCAGTGCAGGGATTTGTGTATCCTTGGGAACTGATGGTGCACCATCAAATAATAGGATGAGCATTGGTAAATAGATACTCCATTTTAATTTATAGCCATATTCAAGTTTCTCTTTATGATTCGTGCTTTTTGGCTGATCACTGTCTTCTCGTGGTCTGAACTTCAAACATAGTTGATGAGATGTACCTAGCTTCTTTAATCAACAAAGGTCGGGAAGTTTTTGCCAAGGGAACCACTGATCCAACAATTTTTCCTGCCGAAACAATTCTGAAGATGGTAACAATTAATGGTGCCAAATCAGTACTTTGGGACAAGGAAATAGGATCACTTGAGGTGGGGAAAAAGGTCAGTAATTGTTTTAAACTTATCGTCTACAGTGCTTCGGTAACTATTTTCATCTTTTATTAGTCTATAGAAAAAGTTCCTTTGTGCCATTAAGGGGATTTTGGATCTTCACAATGTAGCACTTTGAATGAACAAATATGCATGCCGAGATACCAATACGTTTCTCAGTTTCAAGGTTCGAATATCTGTACTTGCTCATGAATCGCAAGTGGAGTTTGAGATTTGTAATTAATTTTTCCTTTAGACAACATGCGTGCATACATAAATATACAATGCATTCTCTCATTTTCACAAATTTGTAGCTATATTACTCTCAATTTAGACAATTGGAGCCAATATTTGTTGTTACTTGCTAGGCTGATATGATTGTCGTCAATCCTTTTTCATGGTCCATGATGCCTATTCATGACTGGTAAGAGTTTCTCTCTCTATCTGTATTTGTATGTGTATATTCCCCTCTCCTCCTATGTTATCCGTTTAACACTATCAATAATGGATAGATATGATTTCTTCTTGGTTGGTCATGACTGGTAATATGACTTCACAACCATTGCTGTATTTTTCGGTTCACTGGTTTGCAGCATTTCAAGCTTGGTATATAGCATGAGAACTGAGAATATTGTATCTGTCATATGTAATGGGCGATGGATTATGAAGGATAAGAAGATCCTGACGGTGGATGAAGTACTTCCATTCTCCTTCACTTTTCCATGTTGTTTGTCTGTCTTCTCCTTTTTCACCAGGTGATAATGTAAGGCAGTACACACGTTAACTGGCTTACTGTTTATTGTGCAGGCAGAAGTCTTAGACGCAGCTAAGCATGCCTCCATTGAACTTCTGAGGAGGGCTGGTATCCAGATTCCCAGCAGAATGAACGTGATGTAAACTGTAAAGTGTGAACTATATATAAAAACAAAATCTTCAATTTAACTTTCCGCCAAAAGACTCTGTACTATTGTAAAAATATAGTAATACAATTTCTATTCGTACTACAATTTTACGTTAAAATATGGTAATACAATTTCAAATGTAATATATTCTTTCCTACTTTCTTATTCCTAATACAATTCTAAATTAAAATTACTAATCTTAATAATAATAATCTATACTGTTAATAAAAATAAAATCATCATCTTCAACTTTTTCGTTCAAACTAATATTAATATTAATTAATTGGTAAAAAAAGTAATAAAGCTTAATTGGTAATAAAATTTTATATGAAAATTAATTAATATCTAATGAATTATTACCACAAATTACAGGGCGTTTGGTTGGAGGGGGGGAATTATGTGGGAAAGGAATTGTAATTCCATGGGAGTTGAATTACTGGGAATAAAGTGAGAATTTAAATTTCAGTGTTTGGTTGACAGGAATAGAATTACTGGGAATTTCAATTCCAATGTTTGGTATACATGGGAATTGAAAGGGAATAAGTAGTATAAAGTCAAAAATGTCTATTATTGTTGTTAGACATTAATTTTAGGTTAAAAAAGGAAGTGATAATTTTGACTCATCACTATATTTTTTCCCAGGAATTAAAATACCAGGGGGGGCATGGGGATTTTAATTCCACGAAAATGAGGGAATTGCAATTCCATGGAATTGCAATTCCCTCCAACCAAACTACGGAATTTAATGGTCTTTGGAATTAGGTGGGAATTAAGTGGGAAGGGAATTTAAAATCCCCCCAACCAAACGCCCTGTTATAGTCAATATATACTTAAAAATGTAAACTGGTTACCAAATTCTAAGAATAATTAAAGCATTGTAAACTGGTTACCAAATTCTAAGAATAATTAAAGCATTATAATTGTGAGAATAATGGAAACAAATTCTGCGTAATAAATAAAAAAAAATTCATTGGAAATTCTGTGTAATTTTATAAGAAAATAATAATTTATTATTTACACAAATAATAATAATTTGAATATTGATTTTACACCAATAATAATAATAATAATAATAATAATAATAATAATAATAATAATAATAATAATGTGAATTCTACACACGCAGAATACTGATTTTGTGTAATAGTAATTTTTGAAGATTCTTTTTTTCAATTTATTTGCGTAAATATGAATTACTTAATTTATTTGCGTAAAGATGGATTCCTTTTCCTATTTATACACTTCGACTTTGTTTGGTAATTCGTGACTAGCGGTTAGCGGTTAACAGATAGCGAATTGTGTTAGCGGGTTTGAACAACGGATTGCATTAGCGGTTTGTAAAAAGATGTTTGGTTAAATTGGCTTTTTAACTATTAGCGGTTAAATGTCAAAAGACATATAATAATGATGGTGATGATGATTGGACTTCTCAATGTTGACTTCTCTTTGAATTTCATCTCAATTCAATTGCTCCTCAATGTCTTCTCTGAATTGCATCCCATACTACAAGCTCCCAATTTCAATTCAATTCTACATTGGCTCCCAACTTGAATTGATTCCATTTGAAACTTGCTCCGCGCCCAAAGTTGGCTCCCAACTTGAATTGATTCCATTTGAAACTTGCTCCGCGCCCAAAGCTTAAACTAGCGCCCAACTCCATCAGATTAATTTAATTTGACTTCTCAAATTTTACCTTGTAAAATTGTTGATGGTGAGTTTTGAACTTGAGCCATTTTGAATAATATATCAAGCATCATCCACTTCGTCCGTACAACTTTTGATTAAATCTCCAATCATATTTGATGTACTTCTTTCTTTCCATAGATGCTTGATCTCCAAGTCAACTTCATGCATTCTTCCAATATTAATTTTCTTCACGAAAATTCTTCTGGGATATCTTCTTTGAGTAGTAGCGACGTGAATTCATATCATTCAACTTCTTCTTCAATTTGTCATTTTCTCCAGACAAATTCTTGATTTTCGGCTTTATATCTTCTTCTTCTATTTTCATCTATCTTCCTCTGTTTTTCTCTTTTCATACTTAAATAATTTCCCGATCATGGTCTAAGACTCTACTAGACCTATGAAATAAAATTGGGGGATCTACAAATACAAATTTGGCATATCAAAACCATTACACTTTATTCCTAACAATAAGGTCTTCAACGAAGGATTGATTTGTGAATTATTGAGTAAAAATTGAATAGTTGAGGACTTAATTGGTAAAGTTGATACTCAGAGACTAATTTATGAATTATGGCATAGTCGAGGGACCATTTTGGATATTTGCTCTTTCTACAATATTAGTGGTTTATTTTCATAATGCTAAATGTTTATGTTTATAATATTAATGCAATTAGATCATAATATTGATGAACCTAAAATAGGTTCATTAAGAGAATACATGTTCATTTTCACAATGCAGAAGATTCATTTTATCAATATTGTAAATCCATCAATAAAAAATTAAGATTAAAAAAAATATTAATATGAATATTGTTGGTTTTACGGCTCTCGGGTTGCCGGTCGGCGGGCCAATACTATCGTAAAATACAATAAACGTAGAGCTTATAATGGAAAGAGAGAGAATAATGTGATATTATTTTTCTAGGGCTTCGGCCACTTGGGTGCCAAAGGAAGCCGAAAAAGCCAATCCCTTTACATGATGATTCCTGGAGGATACTTATACAAGGACACAAAATCTGTACAAGGAAAGTAGGGTTGACGTGGAGTCAAAATCTACAAGAAAAGTAGGGCTGACGCAAGAGGGCGAATCATCTATGAGAGATAGCTGCCGCTGCGCCCTAATTGCCTAAAATAATAAAGGAAACTACTTCCATTGAATGTAGAAAGTGAATCCCGTAGAGCATATCTGTAACCACCTATGGGAAGTACCCGGTCGAAGAGCATCCTGATTACCGGGTAGGTGTCTCTGAAAGGTCACCCATCGGGTGAAGGTGTCCCATCTGCGTATCTTGATGGCCCAACCGATTCCATGAATGGCTCCCAGCTAAGGACGCGTTGTCTGCGGAGCCTGGTCGCCCAGTCGAATCCCGGGGATAGTTCGATCGGGGACACGCCTACTGCCGAGTCTACCTGCTCTGCCCGGACCGACTGTCCTTTGCCTAGGTCGTCAGTCAGTGGTCGATAAATGAGGACCGTTTGGCTGGGGCTCCCCCCCCCCCCCCCCCCCCCCCTCCCTCCGTCTCCTTCCGGGAGCCGCAGGTGTTGCCTCTTTTTTGCTAAGTGTTGTATCCCGTTCACGCATGGCCTTTTCTTCCCGCCCGGATGTCCGTTTTGGCGGTATCTATCAAATATCATTCAAAGATCTTAATAATATATTTTGTAACATTTATTTTATTTATACAGAAAAAATAAAAAATAATGCGTAAATGATGTATGTAAATTGATGTCATTTTAATGAATCTACAATATTATTTTAATGAACCTACAAAATTATAATAATAAATGATCAATGATACTCTTTATAACATATTGAGAAAATGGTCAAATAGGCCCCTGAACTTTCCACAAAAAGTAAATTAGGCTCATGAACTTTTATAAAGTACAATTAAACATATCAATTCGCCCACCGGGGCTGGATGAGATCACTGAAAACGACCGGCTCCAAGCGAATTGGTCTCAGAGTGGAAGGGACTAACTTCTCTTTTATGGGGTATCCCCTTCCTCTTTCATCTAAAAAAAAAAAAAAACATATCAATTCACAATTTTAAGACATCTAACCCTGTTAGCTGGTTACATCTCCAGTAAGTTTCGGTAAATGCCCCCGTAGTTCGCTACATAAGCTTTGTTTTGCGTATTTGGCTAGTCACATAAGCATAAGTAAAAAACAAAATCTATACTATTAATAAAAATAAAATTCTACTTTTGCAACTTCTCGTCCAAACTAGGTCCCAAGTTATTATATTACTATATAAAATCTAATAATTATTATGGTAATTAAACTAATAATTACACGAATATTAGTATAATTGACTAATAATTATTATAATAATTAAACTAATAATTTTCATAATAATAATATAATTATAATTAAACATGAATTGTTGTATTTTTTTTTATATATAATTACAAGAACTTTAAACTATATTTGAAAAAATTGCTTGCTTGAAATGAATTTTAGGTAAAATATGTTTAAAAGTATTAGGGTGTATTGTTTTCTCTCTACCAAGCATATATAGGAACAAATTTTGGTTATTCTTGGTGCAAAAAAGAAGCAAAATGACGGTAGTATCACTTACTATTTTGTATTAGAGGAAATTTTAATTTTGATAATATGACTATAGGGGTCTTGTTAATTTTAGTCCTTGACTTTTAAAAGTGTCAATTTAGTACCTTAACTATGTAATTTTTGTCAATTTTAATCACTCCGACCAAATTGCCGGCCAAATTTCGCCGGAAAATGTTAATAGTTAAAATAATGAGGGTATTTTGGTCGTTTCACACCTCTTTTCTTCGTCTCCGGCGAGTCCATCTCTTTCTCTCCCGTTTCCGGCGTTCTTTCTCCCTCTAAACCCTATCTTTAATATCATCAAGCCTCCTTTCTCCATCATCTTAGTTCATTGCATTCACCGGAAACGAGAGAGGAAGGGATGGACTCGTCTGGGAAGAAGAAAAGAGACGTGAAATGATTAAAATACCCTCATTATTTTGACAATTAAAATTTTTCGGCAAAATTTGGTCGGCAATTTGGCCGGAGTGACCAAAATTGACAAAAATTGCATAGTTAAGGTACTAAATTGAAATTTTTAAAAGTCAAGGATTGAAATTAACAAGACCCCTATAGTCATATGACCAAAATTGAAATTTTCTCTTTTGTATTATTACTAAACTAAAAGTGAAGGCAAATGAGTGAAGTTAATATAAATAATATGAGTGTGATAAAACACGCGGCACCGGTGGTCTAGTGGTAGAATAGTACCCTGCCACGGTACAGACCCGGGTTCGATTCCCGGCTGGTGCACCTCTCTTGAAAGTTAGAA